CGTGCACAAACTCTGACATGCGGCTGTGATTTATAAAGGAAAGATGCAGAAACATGCGTACGTACGGTTTTATAAATCTGAAGGTTTTTGGCGTACGTTCACTTTTAGTGTGGTTTCCACACAATCCTTTATAAATGAGAGCCCAGGTCTCCTCAGGTTCTGGTTCTGGTGGTTAAAGATGAGGGGCAGGTGGGGCAGGAAGCTGACCCACACAGAAGGCTCTAACTGTTCCTCAGGGTGCTGCTAGCTGTGAGCAGGAGTCTGAAGACACACCTGATGTCACTCCATACCTGGACCCTGAACCGGATGAGTCAGTCCTGCGTCGACCCGACTTTGTTTTTGGAGGACTGGAACTTTCAATCTGTTTTCTTTTCTTCTTAGAAAGCTTCTTGTTGTCATCAGAGGAGCTTAAAGAAATGAAAATGGAGGAGTTAGAGAAGCTGTGGAACAATGAGTGAGTTGTGTTTAAAGCAGCTACCTGTCGTCCTCCTCCTCTGCTGAGTCACTGAAACACATTTAGTTTCATCATTAACCACAGAATCATTAACCATGCAGAAAACAAACTGTGAAAGTTTAATGTCGTACAGCTTCTTCTTCTTCTTCCTGGACTTCTTCTTGTCTCTTTGAGGAGATGAAGAACTGTCTGAACTGATGAGGAGAAAATAAACCATCAGCTGTCTGAACAACCTGCTCTTTATAGATCTGCTCCAAGTCAACCTCACCTGTCTCTGCTTTTGGTTTTCTTTTTCTTCTTCCGACTGCGCTTCTTGGGAGGAGAATCTGAACCGTCTGAGTCTTCCACCAAACTGACAGAGAAATTAGGATTAAAGAGATGTAAGGAGCCTGGAGTCAGTGACCCAGTGAAAGGTAAAAATCACTCTGTGCTTTTCTTTTTCCCTCTCTTACGTATACTTCTGCTGCTGCAGCCGCTCCCTCTCCAGGCGTTCCTGTTCTCTCTTCTCCTTGTCCTTCCTGTCGGCGTGGAACGACGAGCCGTCCACGTAGTCGCTGGAAATACCGAAAGCAGCGCGAAGACGGTCGTTCTTCTGTTGGTTGGCTGCAGCCAGAGCGTGTGTTTCTGTCACACTGAACAACACAAACATGTGGTTTCTAACTCCACAGTGTAAACACACCACATGATCCGGATCACTGACAGCTGCTTACGCTGGTTTCTGGGAGGCAGAGGGAGGCGGCTCCTGCTTCTCCTGCAGCATCAATCGAAAACTGTTCACCTTCTCTTCAATCTCCTCAGCAGAATATCTGGGTCCAAACAGAGAGGTGTGTAAGAGGAGGTTAATATTTATCATTTTAACTGGTCCCAGTCTGACAGTAAAATGGAATGAGTGGAAAACAAACGGTTGTTTTTGCCTGCTGCCTGCTCTGATGTAAAGTGATTAAATGAGGATGTTTGTGACACATGAGCCTTAAATGAGTGGTTCTGACCCCTGCTCCTCCATCATGTCCTGCAGCTCGGCACATTTGACCTCCAGCTGCCTCTTGCGTTGGTGCTCCAGGATGTCGGTGTTGGGCTGCCTGTTGAGCTGACTCTCCAGACGCTCCCGGTCCTTCTCGTCCCGTTCACCTCCGCGCTCGTCCCGCGGCCGCTTCACCCGCAGGCTGGACAGGTTCCGCTGCACGTAACCATTGGTGCCACTGCCCCGCGGGGTCGTCAGGCCAATCCCGTTGTACATGGTTCTGTAACACAAAACACACCTGCTGTGTTTGTGTTGCATTTCTCTTCTAAAGTCCCTGTGTCGTACATTTCCTTCAAAGAAAACATCTTTATTCTTAAAAAACTGACATAATGCCCGTTATTTGACCCGTTTATAACTGGCCTTTTTCTTCTGAACTTGGCTCAGCTAAAGTGAAACAGGAAGTGACATCAAAGAGGACGTCATTAATAAATAAACTTTCTGGTTTTTATTTATTAAAATATTATTTAAACTTTAACTCTTCTTTATCTCTTTGATAGAGACTCAAAATAATTTTAAAAACAGACTCTTCAGTCTGTGTTGTTACAACGCTCTGTTCACATGCTGACATCCCTGTGACATCACTTCCTGTTTCTTCACCCCTGTGACATCACTTCCTGTTTCTTTACATGTAAATATCTCAACAACCGTTCATCTCAGTGACGTGAAATTTGTTTTGCATCATGTTATCAGTGTTTTCTCTCCAAAAATACATTCATGTTTGTTACAAACATTTGACATCAGAGGTACTTTAACTGGGAGGACCGTTGTCTTGGTGAAGGTTTCACAATATTTCACTTTAGTTCGGTGGACGCTTTTTAGTTTGTTTAACTTTAACAGTTTATTTCATTTGGAGTACACAAAAATACTAATAAAAACAAACAATAACTACAATGTTAAATGAAAAAGAGCAGAAAGAAAAAAAAAACTCAAAAATACCTCAAAGCACAACCACCCTGCAAATATTCATTAACATGACTCACTTTTTAACAACACAGCTGAAAAACAATAAAAACTAAAATCAATCCTCAAATTTATAATCACATTTTGTTCGTATTTTGACATTTATTATTTATTTTTTATTAATTTAGCAAGTATACAAACAGAACTGGCCTTGTTTGATTCCCTGGTTCTGGTTCGGACTGGACTGATGATGTAAAGTTTAAAAGACAAACTCAGCTGAAACTTAATTCATCAGATTAATGTTTAACTGGAGGATTTGGATTAAAAATCATCAAATCACGAACWAATGTTTTTCTGTTTTAAACTGTGGCTCGTGTCCCGACCCACGCAGTGGTTCCGAACACTTCTGGGCTTCGTTAAACACAGACTTCAGTCATAAAACCAGTTTTTGTCCTTTAACACCTCCATTATATCTGCGCATTAGCACGTGCGTCAAAGTCAGGCCTCGTAGTTCGGCCTGAAGCAAACAGCTCGTTTCCGGTTCGTAATGATCAAACTCAAACTGTTTGAGTCCAAACGAACCGGACTACGACCGAGTCTCACATCAGTGGTGACTTTAAATGGACTAAAGAGCTCATAAATGACACAGTTTAACAGAAATGACCCTTTGTTAGCAGGCCCGAGGCATTAGCCTAAATGTTCACGGCTAAGATAGCTAACGCAGTGATTACGTACCAGCTTGTATTTTTTCTCCTGGAGAGAAAATAAAACCGTGTTTGAAGCTCACTGATGTTAGAAGAAGTCCCGTAGAGTCACAAAATTATATATCCGTAAAATCCGCGTCTTTAGCTCCGTTAGCTTTCGGCTAACTGGCTTTGGTTTCGGGCTGAACGACAACTGAGCGACGTCATACGTATTACGTCATCACGCACGCTCCAAAGAATCAGCTGAGTTGAAGGTGTCCACCCTGTCAGAAACACTGTGCTCAGTTATTTCAGCATAAAACGGTTCAACCCGACTTTAACAGGCAGGACAAATGATTTCAGTTCATTTCAATAAAAACGGTTCATCTTCAGTGTTTGCTGATAAATTAACTGTCACTGATTTTAAAGAGAAACTCAAAGTGAAGCTTCAAAGGAAAAAGACCTAATGTTTAAAATACATTCACATCTTCTGTACAACATTACGGTGCTAAAATATACTGTCAGAAATAAATAAATTTGATCTTTCTTTCCTGCTGCTGCCATGYATTTATCAGGTCTAGACTGGATTACTGTAATTCTTTATAATCTGGACATCCARAAACCTCTTTAAGAAGTCTTCAGTTAATCCAAAATGCTGCTGCTAGAGTTTTAATGAGAGTTGGAAGGAGAGATCATATTTCTCCAGTTTTAGCTTCTCTCCACTGGCTCCCTGTCAAATTCAGAACAGAATTTAAAATATTCCTCCTAACATACAAAGCTGTTAACAACCAAGCTCCATCATATATTAAACATCTTATTGTTCCATCCTTTCCTAACAGAGCACTTCACTGTCAGACTGCAGGTTTACTTGTGGTTCCTGGAGTTTCTAAAAGTAGAATGGGAGGCAGAGCTTTCAGTTATCAAGCTCCTCTCTTGTGGAACCAACTTCCAGTTTCTGTCCGTGAGGCTGACACTCTGTCTACTTTTAAGATTAGACTGAAGACTTTCCTTTTTCATAAATCCTATAGTCAGACTTAGGTTTCCTGAATTATTCTTCATTTCTGCTGCTATAGACTTAGACTGCTGGAGCACAAACTGAGCACATTTCCTCACTCTGCTGTTGTCTTTAGTCTCTCTTCTCTACATGTTTATTCTTATTATTTCTATCATGTTTTTTCTTTGTCTCTTCCAGAAGAAGGTGCACCTGGACCAGTCCTGGACCAGTCCTGGACCAGTTCTTCTGTGTTTGTCTGTGTCTCTTTCCTGTCCTCCAAGCAGCCGGTCGAGGCAGATGGTCTCCTGTCCTGAGCCTGGTTCTGCTGGAGGTTTCTTCCTGATTAGCAGGGAGTTTTTCCTCTCCACCGTTTGCTCAGGATGGGAGACTGTGATGAAGTGATTCAACACAATCTGCTGCTAAATTCTTTACATTGTTCTTTTTATCTACAGTGTCCTGAGACAATGTGTGTTGGACTTGGAGCTGTAGAAATAAACTGAACTTGTCTTTCAGACTTTAGAATCACRTCACTCTATAACTCTGCCTTTTTGAAACTGCACCACTCTGACTAACCTGTATTATTTATCTGGTCACTTTCATCACTGGATCTAACTGCACTGCTCCAACTATAATGGCTGCTCTGATTATTGTATTGACCTGGTGTGTATATATACATATAATAATATACAAATATATATACAATTTAAAACATTATATGTTTTTCTTTATCCTCTGTATTTTCTTCATTTGTTATATTTTATACCTACTGCACATTTACACCGAAGCCARTTCCCAGTCTGTGAATCCTGTTCATTGACAATGTGAATAAAACTGGTTCTGATTCCAGGACTTCATTTCCCAGAATGCACCGGGCAGAAGGTGACGCAGACTCAGAGAACCCTGCTGCGTCAGTTGGACAGCCAGCAGCAGCTGGAGGGAGAGCTGATCTCAGGCCTGAGACTTGTTTCTCTGTAAACTGAAGGGAGTTTTCTGTCTGAACTCATCGTAATATTTATCAAAGATGGCTGAAGGTGACAACAGAAGCGCGAACCTGTTGGTGAGTGAGTTAATCCGTGTTTACAGGGATCCCGCTGACCTGCGGAGGGCCTGTTAGCATTGTTAGCATTGTTAGCATCAGCCTCTGCTGCTAATCTGCGCCCAAAGTCCAGATTACTTCCTTTCTGAGCAGCTAGTTTAAGTAGTTACAGCATTAGGTAATCAGAAAACTGCATAAGAAGATTTAATGGCTGATAAATCAACCAGTTTGTGTTGCTGCTAGTTTTTAACCGCAACTAGCTAAATTATGTCAGGAAGCATGACAGCACAGTTTACCAGCTTCAGCTAAAGAACNCAGCTAAAGAAACAACCAGTTGAACAGCTAAAGAACCAACCAGTTGAACAGCTAAAGAACCTGCAGCTCAGTGTTCCTGGTCTGAAGCTCTGGTTTCTGGTTTAGATGATCCTGCAGACTCAGTGAAAGCCTGAATCATCTCTGTTCCTGCTTTAAATCCTTTAATTAACCTGAGCCTCACTACAGATCACAGCCTCACCTGTCCTGTGAACACACCTGTGGGTTCTTCAGCCTCACCTGTCCTGTGAACACACCTGTGGGTTCTTCTTCGTTGGTGTTCCTGCAGCTCACCTGGGTGTGGGTCCAGTCAGTGGACATCAGAACAAAGAATCTAAATGATAGTCTAACCATTAGTCCTGGTTCCAGTCCATACTGGAGAACCAATGCCAACCCAAGTCATGTGGTGCCTAGTTGTGTGGCATGTTGTGTGTTCATCACACGTGTTGTGTGTTCAGGCTCAGGAAACGGCCCAGCTGGAGGAGCAGCTGCAGGGCTGGGGGGAGGTGATCCTGGCTGCAGACCGGGTCCTGCGCTGGGAGAGACCCTGGTTCCCTGGAGCTCTGCTCGGTGTGAGCAGTGTGGTCTTCTTGTGAGTCTTTGTTCCAGCTGTCACACACATGTTGTGTTTTTACAGGAAACTGTGAGTCTGCACACACTTTGGTTACAGTTAGTTTGGTTGTTGAGCTGGAGACATGATGTGTCCACAGCTCCTGATCAGAGGACATGTCCATGATCAGGACCGGTTCTAACAAACTTTTGTCCTCCTGCTTCAGGCTGGTGTACTACCTGGACCCTTCAGTCCTGACCGGACTGTCCTGTACCGTCATGCTGCTGTGCCTGGCTGATTACCTGGTGCCCACCCTCGCCCCCAGGGTCTTTGGCTCCAACAAGTGGTGAGACATCAGAGAGCAGAGGACAGGTCCTGCAGCTGGACACAGCCTGTCCTCTGTCCTCTGCTCTGTCCTCAGCTCTGTTCTCTGCTCTGTCCTCTGCTCTGTCCTCTGTCCTCTCCTCTGTCCTCAGCTCTGTCCTCTGTCCTCTGCTCTGTCCTCTGCTCTGTCCTCAGCTCTGTCCTCTGTCCTCTGCTCTGTCCTCTGTCCTCAGCTCTGTCCTCTGCTCTGTCCTCTGCTCTGTCCTCTGTCCTCTGCTCTGTCCTCTGCTCTGTCCTCTGTCCTCTGCTCTGTCCTCTGTCCTCTGCTCTGTCCTCTGCTCTGTCCTCTGTTCTGTCCTCTGCTCTGTCCTCTGTCCTCTGCTCTGTCCTCTGTCCTCTGCTCTGTCCTCTGTCCTCAGCTCTGTCCTCTGCTCTGTCCTCTGCTCTGTCCTCTGCTCTGTCCTCTGCTCTGTCCTCTGTCCTCTGCTCTGTCCTCTGTCCTCTGCTCTGTCCTCTGTCCTCAGCTCTGTCCTCTGCTCTGTCCTCTGCTCTGTCCTCTGCTCTGTCCTCTGTCCTCTGCTCTGTCCTCTGTCTGTCCTCTGCTCTGTCCTCTGTCCTCTGCTCTGTCCTCAGCTCTGTCCTCTGCTCTGTCCTCTGTCCTCTGTTCTGTCCTCTGCTCTGTCCTCTGTCCTCTGTTCTGTCCTCTGCTCTGTCCTCTGTCCTCTGTCCTCTGTCCTCTGCTCTGTCCTCTGCTCTGTCCTCAGCTCTGTCCTCTGCTCTGTCCTCTG